ATCCGCTACGGCCGCTTCGGCCGGCTGGCCTCCCCCGTTTGGCGACCTCGCGCTGCAGCTGCTGGAGCTGTTTGGTTTTGGCCTCGGCCTCGGCATCGTGGGAGTCGAAGAGATCAGGTGGAAGTCCAGCTCGCGGGCTTTGGCCGCTGCACGTGCTGCACGGGCTTTTGAGCAAGCCGTGTGCGCCGGGCGGTCCTCTCGGGACTTCGCGAGCTTGGCCGCGAATTCTGCCTGGCGACTCCCACTTGCGATGATCTCGTCGGCTCTTCGACCTTGCCTCCGCCCCCTTGTTGCAGTTGACCGTGTAGCGCTGGTACAGGAAGCCCCGCACGGCGAGGAGATGACGCGTCAGCGCAGCACAGCTGCAGTACAGCTGTTCTGCCTGCACGCACGCGCTTGTGTGCGCGTCACATCGTGTCTCACTTGCTCAAAGGGGCCACGACTTTCGGAGGCCATGTCTGTCTTCTCTGGTTTAAGCTCATTGAGATGCAGTCCAGCCTTGCGGCGCATCGAAGCAGATCGATTTCTAGACTCATCCTGAGTTCTCTTGTAGAAATGCCAGTCGTCTGTTCGGAACAAGTCTTGTGAATAGCTAGGGGTTCCGCCACCCGACTGCCATAGTGCGGCCAAGGCAATGGCGAATTCGCATAACGAGGTGTTCGCCTCGCACGTCACTCGGCAACACCTACGTAACATCTGCACCGTTTCAGGCAGCTGTGGCAGGCAGTGGGAGTGAAAGCCACCTATCCTTCACTTTCCGGGAACCGTGACCTTTAAGGCCATCAAGCGCTAAACTTAGTCCAGAAACTGCGAGATGCATGATGAACAGGGGACAAAAGCAATAACCCTGCCAGCCAAAAACTCATCTTCACCCGCTTGCTCCTTTTCGCAGTCTCTGGCCAGCGCATCGGAATGGTCGCTTGCGAATTTTGCTTCAGTCTGCAAGCGACTCTTTTTGCCTTCCTGATACTGACTCCTCTGCCTTCCAGAGTCTCCAGGACATCTTCCCACAGCACACACTCCCTTGGCGGTTCTCCCGGTGGGTGCTCTGTTGGAACTTTCTGTGTGCCGGCGGCGTTGCTGCCTGCGCGGCACCGCTTGTCGGCTCACGCCGCCGCCCGCCGTCTGCATCGTCCACGAGGAGACGGGACGGGACGTGTTTCTGTGGAGCTGCCTTGCGCGCCTGCTGCTTCGGTCTCGGTGTCGGCCGTTCGGGTGTGGACCAGGCCTCTGCCGGCACTGCCTTCGCCTGCTTCTTCGTGGGCTGATGACTCGGCGTGGTATTGGGACGTCAACGAAAGTCAGACTTGAGGTGTCTGCAGAGTTGCCTGGAGTGCTGCCCGCTACTTCGGCATCGGGTTCGGCCACTACTGACAGCCCTGGCAATCAGCGCAGAAAGCCGAGGGTTCCTACCAGGAACCGGCGACGCCTTCACCTTCTTGTTCATGGCCTGAAATCGCTGCAGTACAGCGGGACCCCTAGAGTTTCAGTTGGGGTGTGAGAAACAGCCAGGGTTCCAAGCTCAAGTATTTAGGGTATGATGGGACGGGACGAATTTCCGAGGACTGCCTTCTGCTGCTTGGGCAGTGGGGTTGGACACTTCTGGCGGTCCTGGCGATGCGTGCAGACAGACAAGGGTTCTGCACAGCTGCCTGGAGTGCCTGCTGGGCGGCCCTGGCCATCAGTGCAGAGAGCCAAGGGTTTGTAACGGATGCTACCCAAGCCTCCACCGGCGGTGCCTTCGCATTCTTCTTTGGGGCCTGGGATCTACAGCGCGACCCCGAAGTCAGGCTTAGGGTATGGATCTGAAGATTGATTTATGGCCCGACTCACACCTTCCCGTGCGAGCTGTCCTTGTGTTGGGCCTTCCGTCTTGCCCACCAGCGAGAATGAACACCCTAAATCTGACAAACGTCACAGACTGGGTGGGCGGGTTGGGCAGGAGCGCTGAACGTAGGTGCGCACCACAACACACGTCTCGCACGGTGGTGTGCGCGGAGCGCCGACAAACCCTAAACCCTATACACCCCTAAACCCTAAACCCTGAACCCTAGACCCTAAACCCCGAACCCCTATAAACCCTAAACCCTGAACCCTAAACCATGAAGGCTAAACCCTGAACCCTAAACCCTAAACCATGAACCCTAAGCCCCTAAGCCCTGACCCTGAAAGAGACGAAGCCAGCAGCCCCGCCTCGGGCATGCCGGGGGAGCCTTTGGGCCCCTCGAAGCGGATGACCAGAACGTCCTAAGGCGGTTTAGGGTTTAGGGTTTAGGGTTTAGGGTTTAGGGTTTAGGGGTTCCATCTTCTTCTTTGCGGGGTTTAGGATGTAGGGCCTAAATACCAATGCTATTTTAGGAGTTCCGTATTGTAACTATAGTATAGTATACCACCTGTTCTAATGATCAAGGACCCTATATAAACTGCAGCAAGGTGTCAAGTTTAAGGCCGTAGGATGCGGAGGCTTTGGGCTTTCTGCAGAGCTTGGGGTGGGGCTTAAGGCTTAAAGTGGGGGCTTTGGCCCTTGCCTTCCTTGACTTTGGGGTGGCCCGGTGTTCGCAGCTTCGGCCCCCAATTTTGTTCACCCCCGATCACTGTTGCGATTCCATGGTTTAGTGGTTCGCGACACTTGGCAAACCTCGCGTGGCAGAGAGGCTCGGAAGAATCGGTGCACCGGAATAGCGAGGACCAGACGAGGCCTGAAACGACTGAACGGAAGCTTCGGCACATGTTGCGTATTAGCCCAGCTGCTTAGCAAGGGGAACAACACTGCGGCCTTTGCTGGGGTGTGTCCCTTTGCTAACTCTATAGGCTCCTTGCTAGATTCTGAATGACTCCTTGCTAACCCCTCGTACCAACATAGACTCCTTGCAAAGCTGACAACGACAGGTGCGAGTAAGGCCAGGACCCCTTTTTGGATGCGGCCCGCCATGATCGCTTCGAAGGCAGCATCCTTTCTGTTTCTCTGAGCTTCTCTTCAGATCTGCAACCTCGCGGCGACCTTCTGCTACAAGAAACAGACGCATCCCTGCAATGGAAGTTTTAGTTTGAGCCTGGACCCGAAAAGACGAAAAGACTGAGCGACAGGAACCCCCCGAAATCCTGTACGGGCCCCCGGGAAGCCAATGCTTCGACTCTGAGCGCCCTCATCTACAATCATATATGTGTGTATGTGTGCATATATATATATATTATGTATATACATACTGTGTATTATTCTGCACATGCATACATCTTCACATATACACATGTGTATGTGCGTGGGCATACATACATACATACATACATACATACATACATACATACGTACATACATACATACATACATACATACATATACATACATACATACGTATGTATGTATGTATGTATGTATGCATGCATGCATGTACATATGCATGTATGTATGTATGTATGTATGTATGTATGTATGTATGTATGTATGATATGTGTATATGTATATGTGCGTTGCATACAGAGGTGTCTACCTTCCAATCGTTGCCAGTCTTTTGTCATTGCGATGGTGAATGCGGTGGGAAGCCCTCTGGGTAGGTAGCGACGACCGGAAGCTGCTAGCGTTAGCCAAAACGAACAGAATCATCGTGCTGTTATGATGGGATGGGCCCCTGTGTGTGTTTTTCTGGAGCTGATGGTGCTGTAAAGATGAGAATGAATTTGACAACGATGATGATCAATATGACGATCCGGGCGCTCTTGTTGATGATGCGTCTGAGAAAGATGTTGATAGCTCACATTATTGCGGGTGGTTGTCAGACTAGGGTGTCGGGTTCAGGCAACAACAAAAGTAATAACAGTATTGACAATGATAATAACAACAAATCCAGAAGAAGAACTATGACCATAACAATAACAACAACGGCAAAAATGACAGTGGAAATGACAATAATAAAAAGCAAAAATGGCACCATTACTGATATGATCATTATTACTACTAACATTACTGTTTATATTACTATCACTATTGCATCTACAGGTACTATTCCTACCATTATTAGTACTACTACTACTACTGCTGCTGCTGCTGCTGCTGCTGCTGCTACTACTACTACTGCTACTACTACTACTGCTCCTGCTGCTGCTGCTGCTGCTGCTGCACTACTGCTACTACTACTACTACTACTACTACTACTACTACGACTGCTACTACTGCTACTACTACTTCTGCTACTACTACGACTACTACGACGACGACCACTATGACTACTACTACGACTACTACTTCTACTACTACTACTACTACTACTACTACGACTACTACTACTACTACTACTACTACTACTCCTACTCCTACTCCTACTACTACTATCTACTATTTTACTATTAGTACTAGTACTAGTACTAGTACTAGTACTAGTACTAGTACTACTACTACTACTACTGCTACTACTACTACTGCTCCTGCTGCTGCTGCTGCTGCTGCTGCACTACTGCTACTACTACTACTACTACTACTACTACTACTATTACTACTACTACCACTACTACTACTACTACTACTACTACTACTACTGCTACTACTACTTCTGCGAACTACTACTACGACTACTACTACGACGACTACTATGACTGCTACTACGACTACTACTGCTACTACTACTACTCCTACTCCTACTCCTACTCCTACTCCTACTCCCACTTCTACTACTACTACGACGACTCCTACTACTGCCTACTTGCTACTACTAACTACTACTATCTACTATTTTACTACTAGTGCTAGTACTAGTACTAGTACTAGTACTTGTACTTGTACTTGTACTTGTACTACTACTACTACTACTACTACTACTACTACTACGACTACTACTACTACTACTACTACTACTACTACTACTACTACTACTCGCCCTTCTCCTTATCTGAAGTGCGTTGGATAAGCTGCAGTATGTCCTCTCCATGGCAGCAATCAGTCCTCATCTTATCCTTCTTTAGTGGTCGGACTCTATTGCGTGGAAAAGAAACGTCTTCCCCCAGCTCAGGATTTTCCTGAATCTGGTGCTGTTGGGGGCCGAGGAGAGGGTTTAGCATTCAAGTATGTTTGCATTCGAGGGGTTGCACATGTTCTGCTCGAAAGTTCAGGGGTCAGGACTGCGATTTATTTCCGAACCCCCAAGGGAGCAAAGTTCACAAACTCTTGGAAGACTGAGTTGCTCGCCCATCGTCAAAACACACCTCTCGGAGCTTTGAGCCTGTGGGTTGTGTCACAGGTTTCTCTCAATGCCTGATGTTGCGACCACATGCTACAAGATGCAAGCCATTGCAGGTGCTGATGATGCTGCCGCTGCTGCCAACCCATACTAGACCCGCTAGCACTGCTGCTGCAGCTGCTGCTACTACCACTGTTACTACTACTGCCAGTACGACGACGACAGCCATTCAACATACTACTGCTTCTACTGCTACTACTGCTACAACAACAACATCAACAACAACAACTACTACTACTACTACTACTACTATACTAGTCCTCCTCTACAACGATCGCTACTGCTGTCATGCCGACGGTGCTGCTCTTGCTGCACGACTGTTGTCGTGGCTGCAGCTGCTGGTGAATGCGGAGATGGTTCTGCACACGAAAAATCCCCATACAAATCCCTTGACGAACAAGGCAACTGCGCTTGCGCATGGCCTTGGGCCTTGCGTGTTTGGCGACTGGAGTGCAGAACGCATGGTTGTGCTTTCATAGTTCGTCCTCCGAGTCACCTGTACCCCTTGGTGAAAGACACATCTGTGCAAAGTGTTTCGACTAGTCTCACACACGATGCGACCAACCTACCTTTCCTTTGCAGAAACTTGATGCCCTGAATATTTTGGATACTGGTACTATTAGCTTTTTGCCATGTGCCTACGGAGTCTGTTGTACTTGACGCCAGGGTGTCCTTGTCGTTATACCAGTACTGAAGCCCCTACACCCCTATTTCTCGTCACCCTTTCATGATCACCCTTTGAAGGTGGATGCCTCTTCTGGCCTTCCCTTAGATGTCCAACTGGAGAGCTTCTATGTGCCTTGGGCAGCCTGGGCTGTTGAACCCTCAAACCCATGACTGCACGGCCAAAACCATAGTTTAGGGCTGAGGACTTTGGGTGTAGGGTTCATTTGCCGTTTGGCGCTGTTGTGCACAGATGTGCACAGTATATAGTCTGAAGTCTGCAGAAGCTACAAGGTTGGGATGTCTGAGCACTTCCATTCACCACGTACACAACTACCAGCAGCGACAAAAGCCAAGTGTGGTGAGCAATGGGACACCCCCCCCATGCCACGCAGCTCCATCGAAACCATCGGACTGGTGCTGCCGGGTATACACTGCAAGCATCCAAGCCATCTTCAACTTGGGGGCCTACGAACTCGGCTTCATGCCAAGGTGCTCAACAACATCCTTGTGAGTATTTTCGTTGTGGAAGTGGTGCTCAAGATTTCCGCATACAAGTGCGGAGGCAGCTTCGAACGCATTCAGACTGCCTTAATGACTCTACCAAGCCATCTTCACCGTTGCAGTTAATGACATTCGTGATAGCTGACACTGACATTGCTGTGCGTCCTCGTTGTCATCAGCACGTCGTGGTCCTCGTGGTCGTCTTGGTCGTCGTGGCTGTATAAGCGGTAGTTGCTGTTTGAGCAGTCGTCGTCGTAGTCACTGGCAGAACTAGCAGTGGTAGTAGCAGTAGTAGTAGTAGTAGTAGTGGTAGTAGTAGCAGTAGTAGTAGCAGTAGTAGTAGTAGCAGCAGCAGCAGCAGCAATAGCAGTAGCAGTAGCTGCAGCAGCAGCGGCAGTGGCATCATAGGAAACCGCGAACAGCAACGTTGTGCAGTCGTTAGGAAGCATTATTCCTGCCTTCTCTCCAGAAACACAGTGGACTAAGGCGCCAAAAACAGGCAATGCACTAGGCACAGACACGAAGATCTATGCTGAATCCTCAGTGTCGACTCCATTGCAGTTCCTTGGTTGGTCTAATCATCTAATCAGTTACAAGGAAGGCTATAGGTACAGAATCTGCGACCCTGATGTGAGGTTTTTTCTCGGGAATTGATCGCTGGTGGAACTTGTTCGACTTATCCATCGTACTCCTCAGCGTGCTCGAGACGAGATCGCATGGAGGGTTAAGGTCCTGTGTTGTATTCAAAGATCAGGGCTATGTTGGCGAAGCTGTGTGTCCGTTTTGGTGCCTCGCAGGTGGGTTGGTTAAGTCTGAGGCCGAAGCCGGTTAATATTAAGGGATTACAGGCCTTTGGTTCCAAGGGGCTTTGGGTTAGTGATTTCGGGGGTCACTCAGGCATTGGTCGTGTATAGGCCTTAGGGATTGGCGCCTTCAGGTTGTGTTTCACGATGTCTACGTTCCGAACAGTTAGGGAGCTGTCTTGCAGGGCTTCGGGCCAGCACTTTACGGGTCTGATTGATGCTGCCTGTGTCGTCCGAGATTTCGGAGTAATCCTTTGGAGGCAGGTCTTGGGCACAGCCCCAAGCCCCAAATCCCAATGCCCTAAGCTCTTCAGACCCTTGTTAAGGCTTACCCTCACCTCTCCGATTGCAAGGGTTTAAGTTTGCATGCAATTGTACTGAATGAAGCTTATGATTTCAAGCAGGTCCCTAAACATGTGTGTGTGTGCGTCTGTGTTTGTTTTATGTCTTTGGCTATGATAGATATGCACGCTTACATTATGTGTGTGTGTACATATATATATATAATATTTGTATACTTACAGATACACCTGCACGTACATGTCAGCTTCAGTCAGAACATCTATAATCGCTTGCAGTTGTTGACTGAGGGCTTAGAGCTTCGGGATTCAAGCGGGTCCGCTTTTGGGCACCGGAAGTGTGTGTGCGTGTGCGTATATGTATATATATATATATGTATATATATATATATATATAGGTATATAGATGGTGATGATGATGATGATGATGATGAGGATGCTGAAGGTGGTGATGATGAGGATGGTTATGACGACGGTATCATGGCATGTTTAATACATGTGTATGTAGATGTATATCTAGGTGCATATGTATGTATGGATGGATGGATGGATGGATGTATGTGTGAATGTACGTATGTACAAATGATGTGTGTATGCATGTGTGTATGTATATATGTATGTATGTATGTATGTATGTATGTATGTATGTATACATATATATATATATACATATGTATACATATATACATACACATATGTATATGTGTAGATAAATATACACACCGTACAAGCAATACATGCACATACAATGCATACATACAGACACGTATGCGCCAGTTTCAGATCATAATTTGCAGGACCTGAATGAGGGTTTGGAGTTTGGGCTTCGAGCTGGTTGCAGTCACGAGTCGTGTGGTTCGCTTGGGCACTGAATGGGTACGTAAGTAGTGATATGCATGTTTATATGATGATGCTGATGATGAAGATGATGATGACGATGGTGAGATGTATATCTGAGGCGGGCTGGATTGGCCAACAGCAACAAGCAGTATACATATATAGTGTTTTCTTTCTTGAGGGTTTAGTGTCGACATGCTACACATGTTGATGTGGTGTGCTTCATAGGCCTCTTGTTTGAGATCATTGTAATGTCATATTGTGATTTCGCTGCAATGTGGACTGTGAGCTACACACATACACGCGCATACATACATAATACATACATGCTTAGTTACTTACTTACTGAATTATATAGGTACATACATTCATTCACACATGCGTCTGTTCATACATACTTACATACACATACACATGCACATACATATACATAAGTACATGCATACACACATACATAATTTGATAAATAGATGTATGTATGTATGTATGCATGTATGTTTGTTTGTTTGTTTGTTTGTTTGTACGTATGGTCTGGTGCTTCGAGCTTCGAGCTGGTTGCAGTAGTAATGTCTTGGGGTTCGCCTGGGCACCGGCCTTTACCGAGACCTGGCAGAAGAACCAGGCAAGCCAAACCTGAAACTCTAGAGACTGCAAGCACCCAGAGGCTAAAGCCCAGGCATGAGCCCGAAGCTCTTGCACCACATCCAAAAAGGAAATCGTTATCGACTTGATCGCCCAATCGCTGTCGGACGGGGACGGGCAGTTCATGGACATCAGCAGCCTGATCGCCTGCGGCACTCTCTCTACACTTGTCATTGTGATGTATATCCCCTATCCCCCCAGGTACCTACTATATAGGGCCTTGGGGGCTATATAGGGCCTTGGGGGCTCTGGACTCTAGTACCCTATATAGTAGGTACCTGGGGGGTTAGGGTATCGTTGTCCGTTTCAACCCGAAGCTGACGCCCACGACAGAAACACTGACAGCAAAGTCGTTTCTGAGGCCACCTGCGCATTGCCCGCTTTGCGCGACTGGTCCGGGCATTGCGTGGAATTCGTGCCTGAGATGCTATATGTATACTACTGTGAATCATGATGTTGCACGAGAAAGCGTAGAATTAAATGATTCTATGGGATTTTCACATCTGCTACGTGCTTTAGACTGGAAGGCTTGCTTCTGGTTGAAACTAAGACGGCAGAACTAGAGTCTGGGTTAGTAGCTCACTAGGTTGAGTCTTCCATCGGAAGCTTCGCGAAAGGCATCACAGTGGTGCAAGGTTGCATCAGCTTCATTTCCATAAGTAGCCCATTTTCCGCCAGGCGTGATTCGCTTGCTCCGCTGCTTGGCTTTCATGATTTCGCAGTCTGCCGGACTTGCAGAATGCGCTGTCATAGGCGTCTGCCATTTTCGGCACAAGCATTCCATTCTAGGGATTTTGTTGTAGTGCAGCGCGTTGCACACGTAATGGGAAACCAGAACCATGCGTTGTCGCCATCGAATTTTCAGAACTCAGACTCAGGCTACATCGCCGGCCTGCGAACTATCTTGTTCTCTATTGCGACCGGGCTGCAAAGATAATTTCTGTTGCAATATACTTGCAACTGTATCGCCATCGGGCGCTGGCCTTGCCGTGTTCGCTTCTGCGCACCAAACACAACCTTGCCGCTATGTTGAGTCCGTCCTACTGTTGAGAGTGTTGCCGGTCGCCATTCCAATCCTGTGTCGGTAGTGCTGAGGGTCATTTCAACAAGGACAGTGATGATGTCTATGCTGCCGCTGCTGCGGCTGCTGCTGCTGCTGTTGCTACTGTTGCTGGTGGAGCTGGTGCTGGCGGGTGGTGATGGTGTTAACCACTTGCCTACCGACACCGATGAAGACAGGGATGAGGATTGCCATTGTAACATCTACCTGTACATCGCTCTGAAACCCGATACAAGCCTTGGCTCAACGATTTTCGCCGGGACCCTTCGTCGGCTGCTGAATCTTCCGTAAAATTTCCAGGGCACAACCCTGAGAGCCCAGCTTGACTGATTTCGGCCTCGTGTTGATGTGGGCAAGATGTGGAAGTCAGGCTTCTTAGCTTCCCGCGCGAGAGGTCGAGCCTTCGAGGTCATGGGGCTTGGGGCAGGCATTGCTTCCAGCAGGGTCTGGAGAATGCGAAGAGGAGATGGCTCTAGACTCTAGATCCAGCGTGTCTTGTTCTGGAGAGTTTGGTGATGTTCGTGGCAACAGGTGCAGGTACGAGGGTCAAGCATTACCATCCAACAGGCATCCGACTGCACCGCTGCTGCTGCAACAAGTTTACGTAGCTGTAGACTGAGGTGAGTACCATGAGCGCCGTCCTGTGGACGATGCTGTTCCGTGGCCTACTGTTGCAACCATCACTCACCGCGGTTTCCTACGGAGGGTGTTTCGGGAATCTTAAGGTTTACGGCTTGTGAAGTCGAAATGGGTGGCTGTTTAAATCCACCGCCCCAAACCTGTCTAGGACTTCGGTTCTGAAGTGCGTCACTCACCAGGCTAGGACAAAAACAGTCGGAATGAACGGAGGAAGAGCGGTATCAGCAGCCAGTAACTATAATTATACCGCAAGGTCCTCGCTGCAACGACGGCAGACACAGAACAACAAAAGCTACAGAATCGAATGTTGGGTGGGGTTGAAAAAGATATGCCTCGCATCCTCCTCTTCAGCCATGTCATATCAAACGTGCTTTTGCATCTTTAGGGCATATCCTTGACGTTCCTAGCGTGCTTCGTCTCCGGTGTCTCTTCATATGAGGATGGGGACTGCACCTTGCTAAGTGATGCAGTCAAGCAGCATGGCTTGTTCCGATGCACTATGCGGCTCAGGCTGATGCTGATGCTCTTCTTCTGCTTCGGAGTGCCCGCTGGCTGAAAGCGCCCCAGAATTCCTCAACTCTGAGCTCTGACCGAACTCCGACCACCAGCCGGCATCTGTCTTTTCCCTCCTTTCGATGTGCATGTGCCCTGTGGTGTTGTATCTTGTTGTTGTGTCCCGTGTTATGTGTTATCTCCGTCTCTCTGCCTCTCTGTCTGTTGTCTGTCTTGGTGGCTGGCTATTTGTCTGCCTGTGTGTCTGATTACCTGTGTGTCTGTCTATTTGTTTGTCTCTCTGTCTCCCTCTCTCCCTCCCTCCGTTTTCCTGTCTTGCTTCTCCTTGTATGGATGGTTTGTTGGTTTTGTCTCTCTCTTTCTCGCGTTGAGTTAGTTAAACTGTTCTTTCAAGCACGGGCGTCAAAATGAACATGTACATGTTGTCTCCTCTGGGCGCGTGCATGCTCATCAGACATATGTCATCAAGCATTACTACTACTACTACTACTACTACTACTACTACTTCTACTCGTACTACTACTACTACTACTACTACTACTACTACTACTATACTATACTATACTACCGCACTAGTACTGTACAATTAGGGTACTAGTTCTGTACTAGTTTACAAGGCCTCGGCCTTGGTCGATTGTGGAGTGGAGTGTGGGATGAAAGAAGAAGCGTTCAACATATTAAAGTTTTTTGACTTAGTAGCTAACTTGGAATGGGCGCATTTTTGTTCCGAGGTGTTGGGACGTCCTAAGCTATGGCATTGCTGTTGTAGTACTCCAGTACGGCTACAACGCCTTTACTATATTGCTGCTCTATTAATTTCTGAACAACTAAACAACTACCATTCTGTTCTTGAACTACCACTAAATTACTGCTAGACTATACTACTTTTGACTGCTGCTGTTCACCCTTTGTCAAGAGCAGGGCATCCACACCTGTATCCTGACAACATGTCAATGATCTTCATAAATAAACATCAGCCTTTGTTATCTTGGCATTTGTGTTTCGTTTTTTAGCGGAACTTCGCCATGAACTCACATCTTTACCTATGCGGAAACATGTTTGTCTCGGTACCGTGGCAATGCGTTACTTTTTCAATATTTCGGGATCTGCCTTGTGACTGTTGCAGCTATGCGGACTTACTACATCATGAGAAATTGAAAAAGAAGCTTTCGGCACGAAGAAGGTATGTCCCTAGTTGTGCTATATATTGACCAAAAAATCAGCGAATGCTATAGCTAGCTACTCTGCCGGCTAGTTGGAGTCCGCTTTTGCAGTATGGTCATTGATGAATTTGGGGTTTGATTCTGCATACAGAATAAGATTTTCGGTGGTCAGCGCAGCCAAGTCATAATACTAGAATGATTGCTCCCGCGCTGAGTTTTGTTAAGTGGGCGTCTATAGTGCGTTTTTGTGTCCAAGGTTTATTCTGTATGTGGCCTTTTCCGTCGTCTTGAAGAATGCATTGCTTGTTTTTGGCCGGGGATTTTTTTGGGTTCTTACAGGTAAGTCTTGAGTAAGAAGAAGATAACAAAAGGACATCGCCAATGCTAGTTTAGCAAGCTTCAAGCCGTTGGATCACAAGGCAAAGGGCTATTACATGAATAATTTTAGTTTTTGTAGTTATCTTGGAGGGAACTGAACTTGGTTTCGAGACTAGTGTACTACTCCTGAACTACTACTGCATTACTGATATACACTACTATACTAGTACTGCGCTGTAAAGCAGTCGCACTGTACTGTACTCTACTCTACTCTCTTCTACTGTATTGTAAGCCACTCCACTCTCTACTCTCTACTCTCTACTCTACTCTCTGCTCTACTCTCTAGTCTCTACTCTTCTCTCTACCTCTCCTACTCCTACTCCACGGCCTCACCCTTGGTCGATTGCGGGGCGGAGTGTAGGTTGAAATAGAAAGTCTGCAACGTTGACGGTTTCAGTGTCAGTAGATACCTTGGAATAGGCGCAATACGCTCAGACGTCCTAAACCTTCCTGTCATATTGCTGCTGTATTACTCCAGTACTACTACTATGCCTTGTCTTTACTGCTGGTCTACTAACTACTGAACAACTACTATACTATTAATGTGGGGGCCCAAATAGTGGACCCCCCCCCCC